TGTACAAGGTGAGGGAACATTTTTCTCTTTAATCATGTAAGAATTCTACCTTGGTCTCTGAGTTCTTTCACTCTGAATCTGAATTTGTGGCTAGCTTTTAGTGGTTGCAAAATTTAACTGGAATTTAGCGACCCATAAATTCGTTTTTTGCTCATTTCCCATCCGATTCACATCGGCTCAACCCGAATTTTTCGACCCCTCCACTATTTTCTTCGCCTTGGTTCATCTGCAAACTCGGTGCTGTGGTTCTGATCCTGCAAAGCACAGCAGTGTACATCTTGTTTATAATGATGACGTCATACCATGAAAACAAGGGATTCAGTTGTCATCATCTGGTCCAGACGACAGCATTGGTATTATGTGATGGTCGTAATCTGAACGACTCGCCTGCCTGCAAAAATAATCTAATTTTAGCCATACAGAACCCACTTTCCTTTTGTTGCACTCTGGCCTATTCAATAACATCCGCTGCTTGTCTTCATTAGAAGTGAGAAATGTCAGCAAATTTTTGATTTCTTACGAAGAAAGTAACTATTGATTGAAAGGATCGTCACATCGTCACCGTGCCCATTCTTCCTCGCTCGTGACACCTACAGGGTGGTCCAAAATTATGAGGACCAAGACATTGTGTCGTTAAAAACGCATAGTAGCTTGATGGAACAAACAAACTTCAGGGAAGTGTTTGTAACTCTTATCTCAAAGTAATTCCAGAATAGAATTGAGATCTGCCACCTGCCCCGTTTACACGAGCCTTCAGATGAAGGGGATGGCGCGTGCGGTGGCACGCAACTGAGGCGTGTCAAAATGTTTCCAGGCCTTCTGCTTTCCCCAGGGAATCAAAGTATTGTGGGGCGTTTATTTGCCAATGTGGGGTACGCACACCCCCTGGCTCACGGACCCCCCGTATTAGCCATATTCCGACTCCGCCCACCGCGCAAACTCCGCCCACAACCCCGAACAGCACATTTTTGTTGTTATTTTTTCACATTTTATGTATTATATCACACCCCAACTGCACCCTTCCCCCCACTACGTCTCGTCTCTAAAGTGTAAAATACAGAAATCTAGAGCTATTAGGTGGAAGGTTCCATTGTAACAATTCTTCGAAAGCAACGAACTCGAAAAATCGCTTTTTAGAGAATTTTTGCTTTATTCTTGGGTGCTCGGTCCTGTAAAAAGTCCCAAGTAGACTACTCGTGTGGCTTTCTATCCACTACAGATGTGGAGTCTTTAGAGTGTCTGGCTGGGTTTTCACATCAATTTTTTCATTTTGGGAGTACGAAAGTCGACAAGGGGAGACCTAGTTTTCTGCATCTGATAATTATCCTGGTGGTAACTGTAACTTTCGAGTCTCCGAATTTTCCATCTGTGGTGGTTCCAAACTTATTGAAGAGTTGAACTGTTGCTCATAAGAGCTTCCTGATACGTTAGACTGCCGCTAGATGTAACGTGCCAGAGCCCCTAGTGAGTTCAATTTGAGGACTGACGTAAGGTGATGTAGTTATTTCACTAGTTTTGAGAACTGCATGAAATTTGGTTTCATTAGGAAGAAGACATTGTACCCTTCACATAGTGCACAGAAAAGGAGATGAAAATGGAGCGACTCGGAAAAAAGTGGATATGACCGCGCGCGCACGCGGTCCTCATAATTTTGGCCCACCCTGTATACATCACCCCTGGATTACATTTAAATCAGGAACAGATGGGAGGTTGCACCTAACTTCACAAGGCCAGGGTGCCCTCGTCGAGAGATTTCTATCAATATGCCATGACAATATTTTGCTTGCGATGCGGTGCCGATGGGTTAGATTGCATCGTCATTTTTTGAGTCACCAACTAGGCTCGGTGCTAATATCTAGATATTGCGTGCTAGGTAAAGCCATAAGCCAGGACCAAGCATCCACAAGGAATCCTCGACGAGGAAGTCGATCCTGAAAATTATTACCTTTTCAACTTCGAGGCCGTATTGTGAACTTTTCACGAGCTGTGAAGTAAGAATAAGCATAAGGTTCACACTTGTTCCACATACTACCTCGTAAACTATGGCACCATGGCCAACTGGTGGGGTACTTGCTTGCTGCAAATTTACCAAAGGCTGTTCTACTGCCACAATGCACTGGCATGATGAATGTAGTTATTCACAATAATTCATCCTGCACTGCGGACGGTTTTTCTCCAACTTAGCCTTTCACCTTCATTCTTAGTTCTCACCATCGTTGTGTTTACTGGTTGTTTTTTTCTGCATGGGACGTTGGTGCACTCTTATGAGTATATAAGTAAATAAATGAATAAGTAAATAAGTCATTTAGCGTTAACAGACTAGGAAGTCTGCGTCTGTGAGCTGAGCTTCTTTTTAATTACTTGTCAGTGTGAAGCATTCCAGCTGTGGTAGACATCTATTTTGTGATTGAAAACATGTTGTTTTGAACGCGTAGATCTTTTCTTTTCCTCAGTGGAAATGAAGCATCGCTGATTTCCCACCTATCACGTCCGCTTAATGAATCATGATGCACATCGTCCGGCACCATCACGGGTCTACCTACTATGTAGGTATATTTTCCCTTACTCGCCA